AGAGGAGAACTCAAAGAGTTATATACTTGAATGGTATATAACTATCTTTCTTTCTCTCCTTCTCTTTCTCTCTTTCTCTCTTTCCCTCTATATACACTCTATAATTTCCAAACAAGTCTTTTCTGATCTTAATTAAATATCTCAAAGGTGGCATTTCATTTTCCTCATTATTACCACCCGACTCATGATTATAATTGCAGGTTCACTTTGTCCTACGAATGAATAATCTCACAAAAGGGAATCAAACACGAGAGAGAGAGATAAGATATATAAATTGAGGGGATGATACTCTCTCGCATATACTGAAAGTGCTAATAAAACTATCATATACAGAGCGGGCGTAATTACACAAACACTAACGCATGTTTCATAAACAAATTGTAATGTAAGCGAAAGGCCGCTTTGTTTCGGAACAAAACCACTCTCTCTTTGACCCGAAGGTGCGCGCTCAAATACAATATTACGATTCCTCCTTATAGAACGTGTGTCGTTATATATTATTTATTTTTACCCAACTATTAAAAATACTAATATTTATCTCTATTTTCCGAGATCATTTTTTCTTCTCATTATTGTAATTTTATTACTGTTTATCTTTGTATCTTTCTTTTTTTATTTTCTCAGGCCTTTTTGTGAATTAACTACACAATTTTTTAAATACCTAATTTTCTCAGAATGTCTAAACTCAATTATTCAAAAATCGAACAATTTTTCTTCAATTTATTTGAATACTAATTAATTTTTCCAAAGGAATACCAATTTTTAATAATTCCGATGTAAAACCTTTTAAAATTGAACTATTTCTAAAAATTGTAAAGGCTCACTGAAAAACAAAATTTGTTTGATTCAACAAATTTAAATATCTATTTGAAATAATTAGACAATTAATTATTTGCCTAAAAAATTATTAGTTTTAAATAATTTTATTTAAAAATTCTAGACAATAATTAAATTTTTAAAGAATTGCACTGGAAAAAATTTATTTGATTCAAATAATTGATTCCTACCTATTATTGAATAAATATTTACTTGAGTCAAATAAGTTGTATTTGAACAAATAATAATTTCAGTATTTGATTCAAGAACAATTTAATTGATTGAAATGAAAATTATTTGATTCAAGTAAATATTTCTTTAATAATAGGCAAGTAATCAATTATTTGAACCAAATAAATTTTTTACTCAATGTAATTCTTCCAAAATTTAATTATTTTTAAGAAAATTTAAATAAAATTATTCAAAACTTTAACAATTTTTTAAGAAAATAATTGAATTTTAAAAACTTTTTGAAATTTAATTGTTTCTCAAAATTCCTACTATATCGCCTTCTAATATTCAATTATTTTCTAAAATTTTAACTGAAATTCAATTTTAAATCAATTCTAATACCAAAATTCTTTGAGAATTCAATTATTTAAGTACAAAAATAAATAATTGATAGAACGAGTCAAGTTTTCTAAAATTGAATTCTCGCAAAGAAATTTAATCAAAATTTTTAAAAATAACTGAATTCTTTCGAAGAATTTTAGTAAATTTTTTTAGAAATAATTGAATTTTCCTGCGAAGAATTAAATTATTTATAAAAATAATTGAATTTTTGCAAGGAATTAAAAATTATTTTTGAAAAGGATTAAATTAATTTTATTCAAATACCTTAATTCCTGTGGAAAATCTTTTTTTGTATTTTTGATAACAGAATTTTTTTGAAGAACTTTAGTAAATTTTATAGATATAAATTGAATTTTTCGAGGAATACAATTAAAATTCTATTGAAAATAATTGAAATTTTACGATGAAATTTATCATTTATCAAAATAATTGAATTTTTGCAAAGAATTAAATTAATTTTTTTTAACACCTTCAATTCCTAAAGCAAAATTTTAATATTTTTGATAAAGAACTTGTTATTAAAAACTGAAAATAATTGAATTTAATTACAATTAGACTAAAAACTGAAAATAATTGAATTTTGAACTCCTGAGGAAAAATTTTAGTATTTTTTATGAAATTAATTTAATTTTTTACGAAAATTCAATTATTTTCAATTAAATTACTAAAAATAATTTAATTCTTATAATAAACAAATTTTATCAAAATTATTAAAAATAATTGATTCCTCTTAGAAAATTTTATCAAGTTTTCTAAATAATTTAATTGTTTCCTGAAAATTCAATAAAATAGTAGTATATTGAAAAGAATTGAATTCCTGCGAAAAAATTTATTATATTGGTGAAAATAATTGAATTCATGTGAAAAATTTAATTAAAACTTTTTGTAATAAATAAATTTAAAAAAAAAATTTAATTAAAATTGAAAAGAATTAATTGAATTATTTTGATGAATTTAATTAAAATCACATTCAAATTAATTGAATTCTTGCGACAAATTCTATTGTTTATGGAAAAAATAATTTGATTCTTTCGAGGAATTCAACAAAAATTACATTGAAAATATAATTCAATTCTTTAAAAGAAATTTTAACAAAATTTTTGTAAATAATTTATTTAATTCGAAGTGTTTCATTAAAATACTTTAAATAATTGATTTCATTCGGACAATTTTATGAAAATTGTATTTTAATTTTAAAATAATTGATTTATTGTGAAAATTTGACTGTTTTTGAAAATAATTGAATTTTTGTGAAAAATTTGATTAAAAATTCGTTAAAATAATTGCATTCTTTTCATAAATTATCGTCTTCAATTTTTTTAGTCTTGGAATTAATTTCTTCACTGTAAAATTGATATTTAAAATCTTGTTTTATTTATTATTTGTGGTTATTATTATTTCATGGTTACTTTTTTAACAAAATAAATAACAAATTTATTAAAATAGTAGCTAAATAGTTGTATGAGATGAAAAAAGTGTCAAAAAGTACACCAATAGTCACGTGAACCCGAGGCCAGTTTTCTTTTTAAAGGACAAGTATAAAAAACAAAAAAAAATAAATAAGTAAAATTCACAGTGTATAAAAAGCTCTAAAACCTGATCTTGCGAGGAAGGATTTAAATATGCATGAAATGCTTATTAAAGAAATTACCCTCCTGAGGTGTTGTTCATGAGAAGACTACATGCTATCAGGATAATCATCCATCAAGATCTCAAAAAGATATGAGATGGATTGCGAATCGTAAATTCCATCTTAATTTGTTTCTGTACAATAATTTCATTTTTATATTAATTCATCGCGTTCAATAGGCGCAAATTTTATGGCTTCATTGTATTCTCTTCTATACAGAACTAAAAGAAATATTACACTCGAAGTCCCTAAAGTTCATTTTTCAAATGAAAAATGAAAATTTATTTATTTAAAATATGTTTCGAAAATGAAAAATATGATTTTTCTATACAGTCGGTGAAGTTCGCAAAGTTTATAATCAAAGAGGAAAAAATATTTTTCTATTTAAACTTTTATCTAATAAAAAAAGAATTTCCACAATATTTCTCGATTAAAAAAATTACTTGAAAAAGAAAAATTGTAAACAAAAAATATTATTTTCTGCAGTAAAAAGTATTTTTCCTCCCAATCCTTGATCATAAACGTTGTGAACTTCACCCACGAATTTTTCTCTCAATCGTTGATCATAAACATTCTGAATTTCTCCGATATCAAAAAATTGCAATCTTCAGTCAACTTTAGTTTCAAATTGAAACGATAATTTAAACACCCATTCATCCGTATATCTCTCGATTAATGAAAATTGAACAAATTCTCTCTCTCCTAGAAATTATCTACTAAAAAGGACGAAATTTCACTCAGTTACTAAAAAGATAAAATTAATAATAAGATAAAGTTTCACTCATCTATTAAAAAAAGGACATATTTTCTAGAAAGACTTTCTTTCTTTCTAGTAGTCTTTCTTTTTAGTAGACAAGTGAAAAAAGCGAGAGAAATAGAAATTTCAATTCCTCGATAAAAAGAAAGAAAAAGAGGAGAAATAGTAGACAAGGGAAAAAAACGAGAGAAATAGAAATTTCAATTCCTCGATAAAGAAGCAAAAAAAGAGGAGAAATAGTTGTCAAGTGAAAACAAGGAGAGAAATAGAAATTTCAATTCCTTGACAAAGAAGTAGAAAAATAGGAGAAATAGAAGAAAAAGAAAAAAAAGAAGTTACGATATTACTGTAGCATATCAATTAAAGTCGAGAGATAATATTCTTTGTTTACTATTCCGAGAAGAGTGATTAATGCCATTGTTCTGCAATAATCTTGATAATGAACATTAGCGAGTTGATTCCTTCAAGAAAGAGAATCCTAAAAAACAAGAAGGCCTTCAGCCTCCTCATCTTTCAGTTTACCGACAATATTATATACAGCGAAGATCCAAGGCAGCTAATGGCTAATAATACTGATCAAAGATAATAGCTAATAACGATCAACGAATCTTTATTGCACATCACAACCCACACACATTAATCTGGTCCAAAGTGAACATCCGTTTGAAATCTAATTGGCCATTTCTTTAATGTCATTAAACTTTGAATTTTTTGTGCCTCTTTCTCATTCTCTCTCAGTGACAAACATGGAAAAAAAATTCCCTTTTAATAAGATGGTAACAACTCAACGAGTGTGCGCACTTGTTTCCAAAAGTGTTTGAAGTTTCTATCTGGGTTTGTTGACTCTTTCTAGCACACTACACACACACAAACACAAACTTCTCAACCCCCCTCTCAGGGGGGTCACTTCGCAACAAGTCTATAAGAGAGAGAGAAAGAAGACGAAAGAAGAAGTCCTACCCAACAAACTCTTAGGATTAGGATTAAAAATTGAAAAGAGTAGGGATCGATCCTGCTTGGCGAGATATGTTGAGTGCAAGGACCTTAGGGTGGATTTAAAAAACCGGAGGCAATGATCGCTAAAGGTCAATGGCGTTCGTTTGTTTATTATGACGGTGAGTTGGTAGGTGGATCAAACTCTCTTGGTGTCATGCGCAACTTTTTGATGCCTGGATAGGTGAAAAAAAAACAGAAAAAACCCCAAAATTAATCCTCTATCCATACCTTATTTCTGATGATTTTGATTTAAACCAATAGTTGTTGAAATAATAATCCTTGACGATTGTTAATTGATAAATTATTTTTTCCTTCCAGTGAAACTAATAACTGTGAAGCACATTTCCAAAGCACATCTGGACACAAACAAAACGTGTCTCGCGAGAATCAACGAAATACACGGCTGGCCGAACTGACAGCAACTGACAGTTACCACGGGTTGTTCATTATTGAAAAATTCTGCCTTCCAGGCTGCTCTTGCGCAGCCGGCACGATACATACTACCAAAGCTGCTCCCCACTATCATCCAACACTCCATCTCTCGCCACCATAGAATTTCTAGTTCCCATCAACAGTAACGTAACTAGATTTCAGCCAAAGGAGTAATAACAGGAGCGTAGAAAAGTTTTTATATACTCGATTCAAGTCCCAGGATGAGAGAGAAAAAATCAATCAGTCCAAACGATTCGGAACAAGGGAACTTATTGTTCTCATCAATGCTTAGATGTCTGCCTCGAGAGTCTTGTATTGAATTTCCATCGTCAATCATTTGTGCAATCAATTTTTGTAATCGTAATTTGTAATCATTCTATTCCCAAGAATCCTTTTAATAACCAATTTGATACCTCTACCTGCAAAATATCAAAAATTAGTCTAAAATCCTTAAAATAATTTTAAAGAGCTAGATGAGATGAACAAGCTTACTTAGTCATCGTGCGAATCAAACTATCTATATTTTAAATACCTTTCCGTTATGTTGCAAAGTTTACTCCACTATCTGATTTTCGATCGAAAAGTCTTTAAAATTAGAAATAACGATAAATAGAAACAGCATCTGAATTCATGCAAAAATAAATATAAGGAAATAGAGAATATTTTAGACACTTCAAAAGAGATACTCCGGCCTTTCATTTTTATGAGGATTACAGTCATAAATCGAACCTTTTTCAGGTAAATTTTCCGGAACAGAATCAATTTGACCCAAAACTTACAATGTTGTTAAATACTTAAACGGTTATTTAACGAGTGTTCGATATTCAGGAAAAAATCATATATTTATCGAAATTATAAAAAATTGAATCGAAATTATAAAGATTGAAAAAAATAATTTTTTTTGGTATCAATTTCGAATTGACAAGTCAAATTATTTTCAATTCATTTCGAATTGATAAAGCAAATAATCAATTATTTCAAACAATTTCGAATTACATTAAATAATTAATAATTATCATATGTTCACTAATTATTTAATTTCATTATTTAGTAATTATTTGATAATAAAAATTAACTTTGGTGAAGTTCACAAAGTTTATAATCAACGATTAAAAAAAAATAATTTTCTACTTTTCTATAAAAAAATATTTGCATAGTTAAATTAAATTTTGATAATTAAATTAACTAAAAATAAATAAATAAAAAATAGAAAAATGAATAAATAAATGATAATAAGTAAACATTACAATTTTCTAAAATTAATTAATTTTCCCAGTTTTGAACGTTCCAATGAAAGAAATTTTTGTTTTCAATATTTTCAAAAATTACTATGCGAAAAAGAAAAATAATTTAATTAAACATTATTTAGTTGAGAATTAATTTTAATATACAGAATAATTTTGTTTATTTTTAAATTTTCAGTATTTACAAATTGAAAAAAGAAAAAAAATATCCCTGTTTATTTAAACGTTCGAAACTTTAGGAAAATATTAATTAAACAAAATAGATAAAAAATAATACGTAATTAATAAATTAAATAAAAAATAATAAAACTAATTTTTAATTATTCAAATTAACTAATCGAGAAAATTTATTTCAATTTCATCATTAATTATATGACTCTAAAATTCCGAACGTTCAAATGAAAAAAAAATTATTTCTTTCTTTCTCAAATTAAATTTTTATTACGGAGTAAATAAATAATTTTAATATTTGGATTCAAACAGATAATTATTTGACAACAAATTAGCACAGATTAGCCTGTGATTTATATAGTCTTGTCCCATCAATAAATAAATATAAATAAATCGTGAACAAATAAAAAACAATAAAGAAACAATAAATATAAACAATAAACAAAATAATAAATAAATAACACAAAAAATATATATAAAAAATTAATTATAAAGTTTCTAAATGTAAAACCTAAGTTTTTAGTTTTTGTTACAATCAGTATTTTATAAAAATATGTTCGATAAAATATATTTCGTTCATTTGAATGTTAAAAAAAAATTGTGGATTGTCAATAATTAATTATGAAAGGCGAAGAAACAAAAAAAATTCGTAATAATTTTGATTTTATATATTAAAACAAAATTGTTACAAAATGTATGCGACTAAAAAAAAGTAACTAAAAAATTCTATTTCTTCTATAATTATGGTTAATTATTGCCATTAAGACATTATTAATTTGAATGTTATAATTACGTCTTAATTATAAATATTAAGACAAAAATAAAATATGAAAATCAATAATATGTAACTTAAAATAAATCAAATACTGTAGGCATATAATAAAAATAAATAGGCCTTTGCAAAGTTTTTATTATAAAGCTTTTGCGGATAAAAATAATGTCCTATTAATTGCGCAAAAAAGGAAGTATGTGTTTATTAAAAAACGACCATATTGCACCACTCTTGAAATTAAATAAAAAAGGCAAAGGCTCCCAATAATTTAAAAATTGATAAATATTTAAAATAATTAAACTTAAAATACTAAAATTTAAATATTAATAAAACTGATAAAACTGCAAGATAAAGTTTGAAGAGAGAAAGGAGCCCGAAACGTTACGTGTTTTCACTATTGCAACAAGTCACAATACAGTCCGTTAGTCAAAAAAAGTTCGAATAATACATAGAAAGAACCATTTTATCAATAAAAATTAAAAGATTATTAGAATTATTCATCGAATATTTATATTAGACAAATCAAAACACTCACCTCAATCAATTTAAGGTTATGTTCGTCACAGGCCACGGGTGACTACAAGTAAGAAAAGCCGACACTTTTATTCGACATCGTACAATTATTTCCTCCATAATTTGACAAATATTATAATCCATCCTTTCTTGAACTATAGTATAATCATGATTAACACTTTCAATCACTTTAAAACATTTTAAAACACTCTTAAAAACCTTTAATTCTTCTTGGTTCACACTTTTTTCACAAAAAACATTCCCTCCAATTTCTCAACAGGGATGAGTCGGTAAATGATCGGCTCATCTTCCTATGCAGGGTTGAGAAGCTAACGAAGCTTGGGAAGAATTTATCAAAATCTGATTGGTTGGTACTTTTCTGGATAATTACATCAACCAATGAAATCACAGAATTCTTTCATCGATATATCGATAAATTACCCGGTGGTCACGTGATCAAACTTGACTTCCGGTTATTGACATTTTCAAAACATACCGTTATTTTTCCCTTGTTTTGTTTAGTTTTCAACAAAATTATGTGAATATTAATTGTGCAAGACTGAATTTTTATGGAAAAATGCGATAAAAAAGTAGTTTAAAAAGTGTTGACGCAATTTTAAAATTAACAAGTGTTTTAAAAAAGGAGTAATTGTATGATCAATGGCTCAAGATACTCGAATTCAAGTCGATGGTTTTGGATTTTTACCTGCAAAATTTTGTGAAATTGAAAATACACGTAAAATTGTGCAAAGGTTAGAGAAAATGATTAAATAATTTATAATCTGTTGTTTTCGTATATCTAAATTTCTTTTTTAATTACTGGTGCATTTACTTTATTTACTTTTATAGATAAATAGTTTAAATTGGTTAAATAGCATAAACATAACATAACCTATAAATATTTAATAATAGAATTATTATTATTATTAAATTATTTATTTTATTTATTATTAATTATTATTATTAAATAATAATTATAATTAAATAATAAAAAATAGAAATAAATTTTTCTACGAATTTTTGTAGGTATACTCTGACAAATAAAAACAATGCATCAGTTCAATTAATTTCATGGGGAGCAGGAATTCAATCAATTAGGGTACCGAATAAAAATAATATTTTAGGTGATGTGGTTTTAGGATACGATTCTCTTCAAGGTTAGTTACTTTTCCCAATTGTCCCAATTAAATTCATATCATTAACAGTTTAAAATATAATTAATCGAATTAATTAAAAATTTAATTTAAAACATTTTAAAAGCTGAATCAATTTCTATAATTAGTGTTTAAATTTTGCTTTTGCAAATTTATAGATTATTTAGAAAATAGATACATTGGTAGAATAATAGACAAAGTTGACAATAGATTTTCTGATGGTATTTTTCGTAATGATAAAAATAATTATAATCAAACTGATCCTGAATTTGACAGTGCAAACTGGGAATCTCACGTCTTAGGAAATCAAGTAGTAAGAGTATAAAATTAATAAATAAATTAATATCAAAATTGATAAATTAATTAATTTATAAATTAATATCGAAATTGATAAATTAATATCGAAATTGATAAATTAATTAATATAGAAATTAATATCAAAATTATTATAAAATTAAATGTATAATTGAATTTTTTCAAAAAGATTAATTAAATATTAATAATGCCTGATAATAACAAAAAAAAATACAGATAATGTCATTTCAATATTCCGGTCATATGTTAATTCAAGTAAAATATTCCTGGACTAATGAAAATGAACTTCACATAAATATTCGAGCGAGAAGTACAAAATCAACTCCTGCAAATTTTACAAATTATTCCTTTTTCAATCTCGCTGGCCATGTACGTCTTTTTTATTTTTTAATTCAAAATTTATATATTTCTTTCAATTTAAATATTTCACAATTATCTCAGGCTACTGGACCAAAGGAATTAAACAATCATATTGTTACAATAAATGCTGATAAAAGGAAAACTGTAAATATCGAAAATAATTTACCATCAGAAACAATTTTGCCCGTTGATTCTACCGCTTATGATTTTAGACGTCCTGTTCAATTAAACAGAAAAAAATTATACAGCATTCCCGGCGGTGGTTTTAACAATAATCTTTGCATCTCAACTCCTAGTTTTTTGAGTTACAGATTCCACGCTAGGTATAAATGAAAATTTTATCTTTAAACAACCGAAAATTCAATCAATGAAAATTAATTATTTCTTTTTAAGATTTAATTTTTCGAAGAAAAATTAAAGCTTAAAAAGAAATAATTAATTTCCTTTTTTCGAAAAATTAAATCTTAATAAGTAATAATTACAAATTTTTCCTCGAAAAATTAATTCTTTCTATTTTTAAATAATTTACGAATAGAATTTTACATCCAAATTCTGGAAGATTTCTCGAAGTTTATTCCAATCAACCGGATTTGCATTTTGACACTGGAAATAATTTTCCTCTTGAGAAAAGAATTTATTCTTCAAATTTGGAAAATTGTCCGAAAGGCAAAAACCAAGGAGCAAAATTAGAAAATCAAAAATACGAAATGCGTTGTAAAAATGGTGCTTTATATAGAAGACACGGAGCTTTCGCTCTAATTCCCCAAAATTATTCAAATCCGGTTAACAAAAAAAATTTTTCTCAATATATTCTTCAACCTGGAAATGTTTACAGTCACGACATGACTTACAAATTTGGCGTTCTCGAATAATTCTAATTTTTATCCAGAAAGTGTCGCTAATCAAATATTTCAATTATAAATTAAATTTTAAAATTACGTTTTTAGATTATAAATTAAACTTTAAAATTAAATATTTAGATTTTACATTAAATTATAAAATTCAAGATTGAGATTTTAAATTAAATTCTATAAAATATTTAGATTTTAAATCAAATTCTACAAAATATTTAGATTTTAAATTAAAATTTTAAATTAAACATTTAAATTATGAATTAAATCAGAAAATTAAATATTTAAAGTCACAGAATGAAAAAAATTCCACATTTGTAGTCAGTAAATAAAGACAAGTGATTATAATTCACGAATAATTATATTTTTCTTTATACGTTAAGTAACATTAGTCTTTATTCCGTATTACTTACAATTTTTTCAAAATTGCTTCTAATTACATAAAAAATTTAATTCTTGTACATAAATTTATCTCACTGAGCAATTTCTTTTTTCTCAATGAAATTTTTTTGTTATCAAATTTTAATTCGTTGATGTTAGACAATTTCGTAAACTTTGAAATTCATTTTTGTTCACTTTATGAAAAATCACAGAAATAATATGAAAATTATTTGAATAAAGGAAGACAACGTATAGAAAAACTAAAAAAAAACATTCAAAAATACATAACGCAAATGAAACTGTACAAAAAAATAGTGAAAAAAAAAAATTATGGGAAAAAATGAGGATGAATCACAATGATCAGTTGGTCACTTGTTGAGGCAAAACCCAATTCAGGAAGTTGCATTATCAAGTCTAGTTTCGTCAGACTTTTTGTTATCAGTTTCTTCCTTGCTGTCCTCTTTTTTGTCGTTTTGATTTCTATTGTCGACTGGTTTTTTACTCCCTTGATTTACGATATTGCTTGTATCTTTATCTATTCTTTGATCATTTCTTTTCGTCTCGTTCTCCTTTTTATCGTCACTTTCCTTTTGTTTCCTATCGGCGTCCGCACTGTCTGCCTCCTTCGACCAGGAACAACTTCTCTGCCTCGGCGATTTTGGCAGCGACCAAGTACTACTTCTCGAACGTCTTCTACCCGACACTGAACGCGATTTTGCTCTCGTTACACGAACCTGTGATTCGGACCTTCTGCGTTTACGTTTCGACCACGAATTCCGCCGCGAACGCGATTCAGAACGCGAACGTGAATTTGCGCTTCGTTTCGATCTTCTTGATCTCGATTTCGATCGTGATTTTGATCTCGATTTTGACCTTGTTCTTGACCTCGATTTTGACCTTGTTCTCGATTTCCCCCTTGACGCTGACCTAGCCCTCGATTTTGACCTATTCCTCGATTTTGATCTAGCCCTTGATCTTGATTTTGATCTTGATCTCGATCTGTTCCTTCTTCTCGAACGACTGCGACTTCTACTTTTGCTTCGACTTCTCGATCTACTTCTGTCGCGACTATCACTTCGTCTCCTCTTTCTTCTACTTGATCTCGATCTTGATCTTGATCTGGAACGTGAAATTGATCGTCGCCGACTGCGAGAACGTGATCTCGATGCACGATCGTATTCATTATCGTATGATCGATAATCTTGTCCCACGAGATTGGCGAAATATTTATAATATTGTTCGTTATATAAATGAGGATTGAAGCCACGTAGGGAGCGATTATTCATAAGACCACGTTGGGGATTACCTCGACCTCTACTTCGGGGAAAACGACCTCTTCCACGTCCCATTGGTGGATAGATCATTGGAAGCGTTGGATCATAGTACCAAGGTTGTGGAAAACGTGGATACATTGGTGGCATTGATAATGTTGGATCCATTGGAGGACCTGGAAATAAAATTTATAATTTCAATGTTTTTCTCAGAAATTCTCAAAAAATTCTCAAATATAATTTTTCTTCGTTCAGGGTTGTGACAACAAATTTAACTTTGTTTTTCCCTGACTTTTCCCTGATTTCCAGACTTTTTCCTGACTGATTTTCACTTTTTCCCTGACTCTAATAAAATATTCTGATTCACTCTAACAATGATTAAATACTCAAAAAAATTCTCTAATTAAAGAGATTACTAAATAAATATTTAATAATTTCTTTAATTGTAAAATTATTTGAAAACATCAATAACTTCTTTTTAAAATAAATATTTAATCATTATTATTTTTTCACAGGAATTCATATTTTCAAAACATTCAAATTCAAATCTTTGTGAAATTCAACAACTGTGGGAATTATTATGAAACATGAAGAAATCACTCACTCCGAGTCTTCGACTCGGAGCAATAGCTTTCTTCATGTTTTATAATAATTAAAAATGACCGTGTGCTAAAATCATTATTTTATATTATAAAAGAATATTTTTACTTTAACTTCGTCAAAATTATTTTCATCATTTCAATTCAATAAACATTTTCTAGAATTTTTAACTACAATTCTTCTTTAAATCAATTAATTTTAAAACCTTTTGAAAAAATTCTTTGAGAATTTTCAAATTCATCTGTTCACAATTCAATTTTATGAAATTTCGATTATTTAAAAAATCTTCAGAAAAATATATATTATATTAGAAAATAAAAACTTGAAATTTAATTTAATTTTTTAATTGAAAACTTTTTGAAGAATTTTATTAAAATTTGTAAAACTAATTGAAATCCTTAGAAGAATTTAAATAATAATTTATGTAAATAATTGGATTCATGCGAAGAATTTTTTTAAATTTTTGACAATAATTTAATTCTTGACGAGAATTTAAAAAAAATTTTGAAAATAGTTTAATTTTTGTAAAGTATTTTATTATTTTTCTAAAAAATTGAATTCTTGTGATAAATATTGATATTTATCAAAATAATTGAATTTTAAAAAAAATTTATTAAAATTCCTTAAAATAATTGATTTTATGGGAAGAATTTTGTTGTTTATCAAGATAATTGAATTCTTTTACAGAATTAATTTAAAAATGTTGAAAATAATTGAATTATTACAACTAATTTATTTATTTAATTGAATAATGAAATGTTTCCTAAAATTAAATCCTTTCCTCAAGTTTTAATAGAATTTTTAATATTAATTGCATTTTTCGAGGAATTTATTTAAAATTGTATTAAAAGTATTTGAAATTCTGCGATAAAAATAATTCTAATTCCTAAATATGTATGTGAAATTAGCCCCCCTCTTTCAAAAAAATTAAATTTTTTTTTAGAGTTCTAACTTCCTCTACAATAGTGAAAGTGGGGGGCCAACTTCACATACATTTCCTAAATGAAATTTTATTATTCATGAAAATAATTAAATGTTTTCCTAAAATTCTATCAAAACTTTTTTTTAATAATTAAATATTTTGACAAAATTTATAAAAATAGTAAATATTGAAAGTTAATGACTTGCGAAAAACTTTTAAAAATAATTGGATTTTGCAAAGAATTTTATTTAAATTCCTAAAAATAATTGAATTTCTGTGAAGAATTTTGTTATTTTTTATTGAGATAATTGCGTTAAAACTTTTGAAATATTTAAATAATATTAAAAAATTCATTCTTGTCAGAAATATAAATTTTTTTTGAAGGTTTTGTATTTGAATTGTTTATAAACATTCAATTATCTTTAGAAAAAGAAGTAGAATTGAAATATTTTAAAAAACTAATTTTTCAGAATTGTAATAAAATTTTCGAAAATTCAATTTAAAAGAATAGTTAATAATTAAATTCTTTTTAAAATTAAGAAATTAAATTAGATTAAAATTGCTTGGAAACTCAATTTTGTTTTTAAATTTGTTATAAAATTCTTTAATAAATTTTATTATTTTTAATTCAATTTCACAAAATTTTCACTAATTTGATAATTGTTTAAATAAACTTATTTAAAAAATTGAAGTATAATTAAGTATTGAAGAAATAGAATTAAAATTTTTTAAAAACCGAATTTTATTAGAATTTTAAATAAAATTATCTAAAATTTAAATAATTTTTCAAATAAATATTTAATTATTATTAATTCCATCACAATTAGAATTTTCAAAAATTTTAGTTTAAAACATCCTTAAATTCAATTATTTCTGAAAATACCAACAGATTTTGATTAAAATCTTTTCTAAGATAGGGTTATAATCCGTAATTTTAAAAAAGTTATTCTAGAGTTTAATTATTTTAAATAAATTTAATTGTTTACAGAAATAAAAAAAAATTATAATTATTTTAGTTTAAAATTAAATATTTCATTTAAATTAAATAGAAAATTAATTTTAATTTTGAATTAAATTTTCCAATATTTCTCTTGATTTGTCAATTTAGATTTCGAATGTTTATTTTAAATAGTCATCTTACCTGGTGGAATTTCATGAGATACGTTTCTATTTAACGTGCTTTTCATTTTCTTTCGCTTTGTTTCCTCATCCGAGTCTGACGATGTATCAGAACTCTTCTTTTTCTTCTGCAAATATTAAAACATTTTGAATTTTTTTTCTCTTTTATTATAAAATCATTCTTAATCGAATTATCAAAAATCAAGTCATATTCAATTACCGATCCAAAATATTACTGTTATATTTAAATTTTTGAACGTACTTTTTTCTTTTTCTCCTTTTTATTTTTCTTTTTCTTCTTCTTTTCTTTTTTCTTTGAATCGCCCGAATTATCACTGTCTCTACCTCCATCCTTTGAATTGTCCTTCGATTTAACGTCAATTTCTTTTCTTTCTATTTTTATCTGAAATTTCAAAAATATTTGATTTTAAATTAATTAATTTTTATTATAATTTTAATTTCTTTACATTCCTGAAGTTTTGAAGATTCAAGTAAACAACGATTGTTTTGTTATTACAAATTGCTTTATTATTATTGTTTTTGTTATTTTGTTAAAAAAAAATTATTTTGTACGTTAAAAATAAAAATTCTTAACTAAGTAAAATATTTTAATTTACTTCATTTTGTCATTTTTAAAAAATATTTTGTTCATTTGAACGTACAGAATTTTAGAGATATTTTTCTTTTGCATTAAATATACAAAAAAAGAAAAAAAATGCCGATTCTTTTTCTCTAGAGAAAATTCGAAAGCTAAGGGAGAAGAAATTCTTTGAATGCAAAAATTCTTACTTTTATTCTGTCGAATAATTCGTCAAGTAATCGAATACTTTCCAGCTGCCTTTGCGCCTTGATTAATTTTCGTTCCTCTCTGGCAATTTTCATGGAAACTTTATCCTCTTCCTGCTTTCGAAATACAGTTAAAACTTTCCTCTTGCGTTTGTCTTCTCTCTTCTTACGACGTATCTCTTTATCGGCTGATTCAGTTTCTTCTTTCTTTCTGTAAAATTCGAAAAATACCAATTAGAATGATTAATTTACTAATTAATAATAAAATTAGTTAGTTATTTAGTGAATAGAATAATTAGTAATTTAATAAAGAGAATAATTAATAAGTAATTTAATGAATAGAATAATTAATTAGTAACTTAATGTATTAAAAAATAATTTCGACATTAAACTCACTTTTGCTCTTCTCGTTTACGAGTTTCTAATTCTTCTTTTCTACGTTGTTTCTCGGCAGCAAGATTTTCTTGGGCTATTAATCTTTTTCTCTCAAATTCTCTCTGCGACACTGAACTATCGCTCATGTGCTTTGTTTTATCAAAATCCACCTGAAAAAATTTTGTTAGCATTCAATTTTCGATTTAATTTAATTTTTAAATTTTCTACTTTAAATAGCTATTTGAAATAGTTAATTTAAATAAATATTTTAAAAAGCTATTTTAAATAGCAAATTTATTACTTGAATTAAAAAATTACCTTCAAAGCGGCAGTAAGACAATTTTGTCCATCCTTCTTCATAAGTTTCATTCCCCTCAACGCATCCATAGCTTTCATAAAATCCATATATTCAACATACTGAATATACGCATCAAAAAATACACCCTCACCAAAATTGAACTTTTGAATATTCGTTCCCAATCGCATTTTTGCTCGATAAGGATCAGCAGCCGGTACATCGATTCGCCTGAGAGTGCCCCATTTCTTGAAAATCTTTGCCACCATTGACTCATCGGGAACTTCGCCATCCTCCGTGAACCATTTAACAGGAAGTCCCTGCACATGAAGTGTGTCCGGTCGCTCACCAGATTTCAGCTCATTCATATGTTTCGCATCACGAAAATAAGAATCCCAGGAGTGTCTCGTTGGAAAATCATCCTTCGCCTCGGCGGCACGAACTTTCAGTATATTGCTGAATCCGGCAAGATTTAAGCGCTGCGATTCCAATCTGGCAAGGACCCTCTGCAATCGGCATCTGTCCCTCAGATCGCCCTCCAATCTGATAAACTCCAATGTACTCTTGGAGACTTTCAGCGAGGCAAATTCGTCCGGTCGTATCAACATGCGTATCTTCTCCATAACCTCCCATGTTGATATTGTTTTTCCTGTTTATATCGTAGCAATTCGCTGTGAGAGACCTGCTGCTACTACTAAATCAATTATTAATTTACAAAATCCTACTCCACCCTGCTTTATCAAAACGATCTTCAAATGATGGCGATTTTTCCACCCTGACTGACACTTAGTTTTAACGATCCGGGCCAAAAGTTTTCTTTTTTTTAATTACCCGTTTCAAAATAATTTGAAAACACGAGAAAGTATCTTTTTTTTCTAAAATTTTATCTACTCCCGACCGTGAAAATTAATAGAATGATGAAATTCCTTAGTTTTCTTTTACAGGGTTGCCACAAAAAATTAATTTTGTTTTTCCTTGACTTTTCCCTGATTTCCGAAGAAAATTTTGAATTTTTCCCTGACCCTAAAAACTATTCTGCTTCACTCCAAAAATTATTAAATAGTCAAAAAAATATTCTGTTACATTTATTTACGAATTAATTTAAATGTAAAATTATTCGAAAACATAAATGACTTCTTTTTTAAATAAATATTTAATCATTATTCTTATTCCATAGAAATTAAGATTTTCAAAAAATTTTAAATTCAAAACTTTATAAAATTCAACAACTTATAAGAAAATTATTATAAAATATGGAGTAACTGATCACTCCGAGTCAATGACTCAAAGTGATTAATATCTTCATGTTCTTTAATAATTTAAATTCCCATAAAATTTTTCAAAACAAAATTAAATTATTAACAAAAAATTTTGAATTTTTTTAATTCTTCTCAAGAATTAAATTATTTTTACAAGTAATAAAATTTCTCAAAAGAATTCAATTATTTTAAAAAATGTAATAAAGTTCGTTCTAAGAATTCAATTATTTACAGGATTTCAATTATTTTTAAAAAATTTAATAAAATCCATTGCAAGAATTCAATTATTTTCATAAAAAATAAAATTCTTCACATGATATCAATTATTTTCAAAATTTACTATTTTAATAAAACTTTTCAGAAGAATTCAATTTTTAAAAAAAGTAATAAAATTGGTTGCAAGAATTCAATTATTTTCATAAATAATACAATTCTTTACAGGATTTCAATTATTTAAAAGAAATTTAATAAAATTCGTTGCAAGAATTCAATTATTTTCATAAATAATTAATTTCATCACAGGATTTCAATTATTTAAAAAAAAATGTAATGAAAATTCGTTGCAAGAATTCAATTATTCTCCTAAATAATAAAATTCTTCACATAGGATTTCTATTATTTTTAATACAATTTTAATTAAATTGTTCGAAAAATGTCATTATTTTCAAAAATATTATTAAAATTCTTCGAAAGAATTCAATTATCAATTATCTTTTATACTTTTTACAAAAGTTCCTTAAGAATTTTCAAATCCATTTGTTTACAATTCAATTTTACAAAATTTCGATTAATTTGATCAACACTTTTTCAAAATAATTCAATTTTGGAGAAGAATTTTATTATTTTTAAAGATAATTGAAATTTTGACGAGAATTTTTTTTTAATTTTTCGAACATAATTGAATTTCTGCGAAGGATTTTATTACTTTTTGAAAATAATTGAATTTCTGCAATAATTTCTAACTACTCTAAAATTCAATTTTTTCCAATACTTTAATAAAAAATCCCCGACTTTTCCCTGATCAATTCTGCTTCCTTTTACTTTTCCCTGATTTCCCTGACCTGTGGCAACCCTGTATTATCAAAAAAATGTTGGAAAAAAAGAGGTTAAAGTAGGTTTGTAATTAAAGCGATGTCAAGAGTTTACCTGGGGTTTTCAGCTGTGGAAGATTAACGGATACGTTAATTTTTGCGATTGGTTTTAAATAGAGCCCTCGTGCTGAATAAAGTGGCACTATATCGCTGAGATCCCTGCAGCTTCGAAATCCGTTAACAACCTCTCCACTAGGAGTTTCGCCTACCTTTTTATTATCTGCCATTGCTTTTTTTTAATTGTAAATTCTTACCGTGATATGTAATCTTTGAAAAAATTGTTCCCCAATATTTTTGGGAACCAATAACCGAATGTAAATTGGCAAATTTAAATGATGAAACTCAGAAGAGAGGTTGTTTTACGGGTTGACGACGCTTTACAAAGATCACGATATTCTCCTTCTCCACCTGTCAAATTCTTCCCCTAAACGCGTTTTTTCTATTTCTTCTTTTGCCTTCAATGTAAATTTTTACATTTTGACGACTTTTTATTGGCCATTTGCTTGTGAAATTCAACTTTTTATTACCACTTTACTTTTTCACTCAACATGACGATTACCGCCATGACAGTTCAGGTTTGTTCTCTATTATGGCCCGTTTACAATACAAGAAACCTAAAGTCTAAAGTGTCATTCACATGAAAATTTCTCCTCCGCGGGAAAATTTGAATTCCCAAAGACAAAGATTTTTAAATTTCTCCTTTTTCTTTTATGAATAATATAAATTAGAATTTTAGAAAAATATTCACCAAGGAAGTGTCAGAAGCTGTAAATTTAAATTTACATAAAAGGTTAATATATAAGTAAAATCCTGGTTTTAATGTGCATTTAAATGTCACAGGAATATTGCAACCATTTAATGCAAAACAAGAATTGAGTGTTAAATTATATAAAACGAAACAACTTTTTAAAAATCGATAAAAGTATTAAAAATTAAAAAGTCTTGTAGGAGTGCCAGGGGTGGAAAAGATTCGAAAGAAATTAAAAAAATATTGGAACCGGAAGTATGAATGGAGCTTAACCTTGACGGCAAATGGTATTAGTGTTTTTTAACAACTCACAAACACAAGTACACTCAACTGTTAGTGTGTGTGTAAGATTTCGACACGAAAGTGACTGCACAGTGCAACTGACTGATGTCAGTGTAAAGAATATTGTGATTAAGCAAGAAAATATTTATTAGTGCTAGAAAAAATGTTAAAGTGAATGCAGCAAGGATTCGTTAATATTCCATATTTCAAAATGTATACTTTGTGGGCGATATGACAGAAAGGTGTTCATCATCAGACTCCTCTTTACGGGATATATTTTTAAAACCATTACAATGGGGTCTAGATTAAGGTATGTATTTTCACTTCTATTATTCCGTTATAGTTATTCTTTTTTGTTTAAATGTCTCCTCTTTCAAGTGTATTTACATTGTCACGGTTAAATTATTTTAGAAAAGAAATAGAAATCATTTGCACGCATTTTTTTTTTTTTTGCCTTTCAACATTCAATATGACGGTGATTCATCCTGTCTCTGTTTTTTTACACAATAAAATATACACATATGATTCCTACAGTGATTTGAATGTTTGTATTTATTAATTATGAACTAAAGTAAGGTCGTTGGAAAATTCCTTTGCATTTTGGAACAAACACTTTGTCATATGGCGCAAGGTCTTCTTCTTTATTTAAAAAATAGAAAAAAATTTCAATCTTTATTTAAAATTATATATTAATTAAAACGTAAATTAATGTTTGAAATTAAATTTTTGCTAGGATGAGGAAAATGACAAAACGAAATTTTTTTGTAAGATTTATTTTTTTTTCGATGATGTCATGTTTCATTTTTTTTTTAATTTTAGGGAAAATGTGAAGCATATATTCGAGTGCTTCTGTGAAATAGCTGCACCTATAGGAGAGAAACAAGCCTGGATTCTTCAAAAATATCCTGACACATTTGCTGATCAGGAAATATTAAAATCTGTTCCAAAATTCGCGTATCCTTGTGAAGTGGAAAAGTAAGTTTTTAACAAAATATTTTTCAAAATTCAAATGATTTTTAAAAAATTGTCTTCTTTTCCCAGTCAACAGGTACAGCATTTTTCGTTTGTCCTGACCAGTATAGACTCGAAATGGACTTTTGGATTTTGTCGACACGATCCTAAAACAACAACTGCATTAGTTATTTTAAGTGCATTACCATGGCACGAAACGTTTTACATGTTAGTGGAAAATCATTTTATTTCTTTAGTTTAATTGTAATAATAATACTTTAATTAATTATTTAACATTCAATTACTTATTTACATTATAAAATTAATTGTTTGAGTGAACATTATTTGTTGTTGGGCATTAATATTTATTAATTCACAATTATTTCTTTTTTTTGTCACCATTTTTTGTTCTACGTAATAAAAAAAAATTGATGCGTAGAAAAAAGAATTGTAATTACAAATTACGTTTTAGAAAATTCATTTCCATTTTAATATAAATTCTTATTAATTATTAATTTCTTTTTAGATTCTTAAATCATATTGCTACATTAATATCAAGTAAAAATGCTGGTGATTTAGTCAAATTTTTGGAAGATGTACATAACACTGCAGTTCCAGTGTGTGGAATTGCTGCCAGTATTCCTCTTCCCAATACCAGTACTGTAAGTTTTTTCAATTTTCATTAATTTTACAATTTTATTTATTTTTCTTTTAATATTTTATTTAATATTATCAGTTTGGCGTTTCTTTTCAATATATATTTTAGAATTTTTATTAACTCTTTTTCAAGGTATTTCTTTGCCAAAGTCCGAAACAATTCCAGTTACCCAGTATACCAGAAAATGTGAGTAAAATTTCGATTTTAAACATTTAATGAAGAACAAAACAATTTTTGTTTTAAATTTAAATTAAAATAGTAAAAAATAATTAATTCAGTGATAGAGAATTACAATTTTGATTTTACTGATAAATTTTTATTTTATTTTATTTTATCCAATAATAATTATATACAATTTTCTAATTTATCTTAATTATATTAAAATACAAATTTTTGAATAATTTCATAATCAGAATTTTAAAAAATCATTCATTAAGTACATAAATAATTATTATTGTTTATATCTTCAAAAATTTCAATTTCTTCGCAAGAATTCGATTATTTTTGTAAATAGTAAAAATTTTTGCAAAAATTCAATTATTTTCAACAAAATTTTAATAAATTTTCTCTAGAGAATTCAATTATTTCTTTATATATAGTAAATCTTTGCAAAGATTTATTATTTTCAATAGAATTTCACGAAAGAATTCAATTTTTTATTCAATTCGCTATAAAAGTTTCCAAATAAATTCAATTATTTTCTAAAATTTTAATAAATTCTCGAAAATAATTCAATTATTTTTATAGATAAATAGTAAAATACTTCCTAAAATTTTTATAAAAATCCTTCTAAACAAATCAATTATTTTCATAAATAATAAAATTCTTCGAAGGAATTCAATTATTCTCAATTTTTTTTTTTTTGATAAAATTCATTACAAGAATTCAATGATTTTCAATACATTAATTTTAAAATTGAAAATATTTAAAAAGAAAAGTTAAAAACTTTTTTATTAAAAAAGTTTGTAAACAAAAAAGCAAACAAAACAAATAACTTCAAACTGCGAATAGATTACCGGAATTCAACGATTATTAATATAGATTTTATTTATATTTTATTCGATACTTAATAAATTAATAAATAAATAATAATAATAATAATAATAAATAATTAATAAGTAATAAATTAATTTTTAATTACTATTTTACAATTTACAATCAGTTTAATTTGAGTGATAAATTATTGGAGTATTTCTTTTAAAATGAGATTTATGTTTAATTGCAGAGAAATTTAACAGAATATTTTAGCGCTGTGGACACTTATAATATGATGATAATATTTGCCTCTATGTTGTATGAAAGACGCATTGTGTTTACTTCAAAACGACTGTCCAGGCTGAGTGCTTGTGTGCAAGCATGTAATGCCCTTATTTATCCAATGATCTGGCAACACATTTACATCCCAGTTTTACCACTTTCGCTTATGGATTATTTACTGGCGCCCATGCCATTCCTCATTGGCGTTCCTTCATCGACTCTTCAGGTCATTACTAATTTTCAAATAATAAATAAAAATTAATTTAAAATTAAAAAAAAATTTATATTTACCACAATTCGGAATTAGTATTAAAAAAAATTCGATTGGTATTCAGCCAATTTCATTGAAATTAATTCATTCTCTTTTTCTACATGATAAAAATAATAATAATAACAATGATAATGATAATATTTTTATTAAATTTTAAATTTCTCCTTTTTATTAGTAAAAATAAAAATTAATTCATCATTAAATTAAAATAAATAAGTTTCAATTATGTTTTAATTTAAATAATTAAAACAAAAATAAGTAATAGAAAATAAAAATAATATTAATAAAAAAAAATAAAATAAAAAAATAGAAAAGATAGAAAAACAGAAAAACAGAAAAAATAGAAAAAAGTAAATATAGAAAAAATAGAATAAATAAAAAAATAGGAAAATACATAGAAAATAAAATTTTTAAACATAAATATATACAAAGAAAACTAATATTTCAATGAAATTGTTTCCAAGATGCACCACGTGGAGGTAACCAATCATGCATCTCAAAATTAAAAAATAAAAAAAGTCCTTATTTAGGAATAAAATTTCCTTCTCTGCCTTTTTTTGAAATAATTAAATTACACGATTTCGAATTATAATTTTGGATTAATAAAGAAAATTTTTGTTTCACAGAGGGTGAATAAAAACGACATGGGTGAAGTAGTTGTTTTGGACGCTGATAGTAATAATGTTGACACACCATTTCACGACTTAGAATCTCTTCCACAGGACGTAGTAAGTATTATAAATAAATAAATAAATTATTTACAATTTTTATTGAAACTGAAGATTAAAAAAAATATTTTTCTTTCCTGCAGGTGACGAATTTAAGAAAAGCTTTACGAAATAGACCAGCATTATTGGGAGACGGAGTTTCGCGAGCATTTTTACGTGCTTTAGTGCAATTGACTGCGGGTTACAGAGAAGCTTTGACTTTACAACAAGGAGTCAGAATTACTTTCGATCCAAATAAATTCGTCGAGTGTAGACCACTGTCCATGCAACCGTTTTTACGAAAAATGCTAGAATTACAAATATTTCAACAAGTAAGTGTTTCAAAATGGAAAATAACATTAATTTACACATTTAATTGATTAAAATACCGCCGAGATAATCAATTAATACTAAACATCGAAAAAAAAATTTACTAAATACTAAAAATCGGAAAGAGAATTTACTAAATGTTAAAAATCGAAAAATGAATTTATTAAATACTAAAAATCGAAAAATGAATTTACTAAATACTAAAAATCGAAAAAGGAATATACTAAATACTAAAAATCGAAAAAGAATTTATTAAATACTAAAAATCGAGAAAAGAATTTACTAAATACTAAAAATCGAAAAAAGAATTTATTAAATATTAAAAATCGAAAAATGAATTTACTAAATACTAAAAATCGAAAAGAGAATTTGTTAAATACTAAAAATCGAGAAAAGAATTAATTAAATACTAAAAATAATATTATAGTACTTTAATAATTAAATTTAAATAATTATTTGAATGATAATTTAATTTCTATTTTCTATTCAAGTAATTAATTTCGAGTAATATTTCGAAAATGTTTCCAGTTTATAGAAGAAAGACTGCATATGCTTAATTCAGGACTAGGATTTTCAGATGAATTTGAAATAGAAGCTTGCAATTATTCGGACAAATCTGGTAGTAAATTTATGCAACAGTATCGAGAGTGGACATTCGCAATGCGGAAGGAGGGTTCCGCGTTCATCCGTAGCGTCAAGGATAAAGTAATAAAATATTTTATTTTTAAATTCTTCTTCTGATTAATTCAATTTTGATGGTAATATAAATTTAATAATTTCAGGCAAATCCCGCTGTCAAGTACGCTGTCAAATCTGTGAGTTTTTATTCTTTCAAAGCTAAACATTTCAATTACAATAATAATAAAAAAATATTATTATTTAGTTTATTAATTTTATTTCTATTTCTTCGCTTATTGGAGAGAAATAAAATAATTAATTCAAATCAACTTTCTTCTTGTTAATTAATATAATTAATGTATAATTTCAGGTGAAAGACAAAGGAAAGGATATGAAAACGGCATATAAGGGTCTTAAATGGAAAGGTGAAAGTTGTATTTTAATTTCTCGTCAGTTTAAAAAGAACAAATGGAGAATGATTATTTTTAAAAAGCTAAATTCTCTTCTCTTAGGTCGATCGAGTAGAGCTGAAAATAGTATGCGCTTCCCTCAACCTAGATCCGCTCCTAGTTCACCTACTTCCGAAAGAAGAGCAATTTCCTTTAGTTCGCCATCAAAATCACCGAGTGGATTTACGGCCACGACCAGTTATCGCAAGGAACTTCGATTGCGCAACAGTAACATTGATGCGAGGTTCAAGAATTATTCACTTATTTTTTTTTAGCAAAATAAAGAATTTACAGCAGTCAATATAAAAAGAAACAAGAAAATATATAAAAATAAATACAGGGTTGCCACAGATCAGGAAAATCAGGGAATTCAGGAAAAAGTCAGGGATATTTATTAAAAATACTGGAAAAAATTCAATATTTAAAATTCATAAGATTATTATATTTCGGATAATAATTTATTTTTAAATAACGATTAATTCTTTAACAACTATTACAAAATTATTACTTATAAATTATTTAATGAATAATTTTATTTAAATATTTTAAAATTAATTCAATTTTAAATGATTTGTGTTTACAATTTTCATAAATAAATGAACTTTAAAAGGTTTTAATTTAAAATTTTAGAAAATTTCAATTTTGAATGAATTTAATAAAAAAAATTTAAAGAACTTAGATTTTTTTTAAGTTTTAATAATTCAATTTCTTCTGAAATCAATTTAATTTTTTAATATACATTAAATTAATTATTAAAAATCATGGATTTATAGAAGAATTTCAGTTAAAAACACAAAAAATTAAATTTTAGAGAAGTTACAAATGTTTGAAGAAATTCAAAATTAATTTTTTGTGGCAACCCTGAAATATAAAAATATTAAAAATAGAAATACAAAAATAAATATAAAAATACAAATTTTCATAATAGAAAATATTCAATGTTGAGTAAAATAATTTTCAGAAAAAAGTAAAAGCAAATTTTCTCCATTATTATTTTGTTTTCGAATTCAAATTACAATAATTTCTTTATGTTTTACAGTAGAAAACAATACTCTCCACTGAGTCCAAGTTCTCCCGAAGAACCAGATTCGCCCCCAGAACGACTTAATATAGATCTAATGCATGAACTTCGAGATGTGATATTTCCGAACACTCCACCCGTTGATAGAACAGTGAGTAAAGAAAATTTTATTTCAACAATCAATAGAGTGGAAATTTTATAAATTTCATTTTTCCCTGCACAAGCTGAAATCAATCATCTTCATTATTTCTCTTTAACTCTTCAGTACAAATTATTATTATTATAAATAATTTTCCAGTAATAATTTAATTATTAATGAAAATTTCCATGTTTATCGTGAATTAACTAATACAATAAAATCTTTAGCGTCCAAATAGTTTAATAATAGAGAAAATAAAAACGAAGAATATCGAATATTTTTATTTCCTCTATTAGTAAATTAATTAATTGTGTATTAATATTCAGTTGAATTTAATTTACTAATAGTAGTAAATCTCTTTTTTTATTATTATACGAACTCAGTGTTTCTGTTCTCAAGTAATTAATTTCTACTTCTTAAATATTTTTCATATTGAAAATATGAATTTTATCTAATTAATAATTATTTTACAAACATAATTGTTTACTATATTTTTTATTTTTTTATTTGTATTTGTATTTGTATTTATTTTATTATTATTAGTATTATTTTTTTTATTTGCTTTCTCAAATCAAAAAGCGAAAATGACAAAGAAAGATTAAAACTCAAGAAAATTATTATAAAAAAATATTGAAATTTAGAGTACTTAGGAGTTAATATAAATTAAATGTGATTTTTAAAAAGCTTTTTTTTTAATCATTAATGAGCTTAATGGAAAAAAGTAATGTCACTCAAAAACGTTAATAAAATTGGCGTTTTTGGTGAAAAAGCAGTTCATCACTTGCTCCTCTGATTTTGCACTTTAAACTCATCTTATAGTTTTTTTTCTTTTTTTTTACCTTAATTATTCCAATTTTTTGTGTTTTTATTGTTTTTATTCCTCTGTATTGTCCGTAGTAGACAAATGTCAATGAAAATGTGCATGAGAATATTAGTCAATTTCTATTTCATTTTCATAATTTTAGTGTCTGTGGTTTTATTCAGTGTTGGATTCCCAAATATATTTTTTTTTCGTATTTTTTTAACAGAAGTGATTAAAAAATTTTGTTAATTCTTCAAGTGTTAATTTTTGAAAGTTAAACAAAGATGCAAAAAAATATGAAGAATATTTAATAATTTTATGATTGAATACAAAATAGTTACGATTATTATTGTATTTTCTATTGTAATTAAATAACTAACATAAAGTAAAAAATTTTGAATAATTTTTTTGTTCTCGCATATCCAGTGACTAAATTGCTTTTTCGCACCGTAGATTTTTAAATTAAATGACAAAAAAATCAGCTTGTTTCTCTTTTTTCTTTTTTTTTTTTTTAGTAAAGGATAAAATTTAAAGCTTAAGAATCAAGTTTTTTTATCCAACAAGTGAGAGAATGTTGTGCGTATAACCTTTCAGTTGAAACCAGTTCGAAGTTTAGACAGCTTGAGACCTGCATGGAGTGGGCGCTTGCGGCACGGCCCTTTACCAATTTCCCAAAATTCCTTTGAAATTCCTCCAAAACCAAAATTCAATCCCGAACCACCACAAGAAATTTTATCAAATCAATTATTTAATTTGGAATCGAAAAAAATCCCCACCAATGTTAAATTAAAAGAATCAATTCAAAATTCTAGTGATTTTACAAATTCAAAATTAGCCGACATATCGCCCCTAATTGAAATTTCTTCGAATTCGAAAAAAAATACAGAAACCACAACTCACGAAATAATTAATCCCTCGAATCCATTTGCGAATAGTGAAATTTTAAAAATAAAAACAAATGGACAAAATTTGGAAATTGATGTTAAAGAAAAAATTACTGATAAATTATTGGAGGATCCATTTGATGATGATTCGATTAAGAGTAATTTACAGGATCCTTTCGATACAAGTCGAGTAATGATTCCTATGAATCCTGTATTGCATTCCATGACAAATCAAAATTCCATTAATTCTCATCCATCACAACCATTGAACACTGAATTCTGCTCGTCACACGCTAAGGTAAAAATTACCACTCATTTTTTTCGTTGAATTTTCCAAAAAAAATGTTTTGTTTCTCGTTGAGTTTATTTGTCGTAACGTCCTATTTATTATTTACTTTCACTTTCCTTAAGTCTGTTGAAAATATTCAAAACACAATTATTTCCTTCCAAAAGAAAAATTTCAAACTAAAAATTCTGTACAAAATAAAAATACTACTTCTAGTGCTAAAAAAAATAACTCGGTATTCCTTTTTTAATTATTTTGTAAATTAAAACATTTCATTTTCTTCGAAACAATTCAATTATTTTTATAAATAAGAAAAATTGTTCTCAAGAATTAAAATATTTTCATTAATAATAAAATTCTTCAAAGGAATTCAATTATTTTGAATAAAATTTTAATGAAATTTCTCGAAAGAATATAATTATTTTTAAAAATATTATTTTAATTCAATTATTTTCAATAGTTTCAATACAAATTGAATTATTTTCCAAAATTCTGATATAAAATTCTTCGAAACAATTCAATTATTTTTGTAAAATCCTCTAAATTGTTAAATTCTCCGCAAGAATTCAATTATTTTTATAAATAAGAAAAAGTTTTCGCAAGAATTAAAATATTGTCACAAATAATAAAATTCTTCAAAGGAATTCAATTATTTTCAATACAATTTTAATAAAATTTCATGAAAGAATACAATATTTTGAAAATATTATTTAAATTCAATTATTTCCAAGAGTTTTAATAAAAATTCAATTCAAATTCTTGAAATGAATTCAATTATCTTCAGAAATAATTAAATTGTCGATGTTCTGAAAATAATTGAATTCTTGTAAAGTAGTTATAAAAAAAAATTGAAAAAAATTGAATTAATTTCAAGAACATTATCAATATTTGAATTGAATTTTATTAAAAATTTTTTATATAGGTAATTGAATCCCTGAGAAAGAATTTATTATTTCTACAAATAATTGAATTTTTGCAAACTTTCAAAAAATAAGTGCATTTTTGAGAAGAATTTTATTAAAACTGTATTTAAAATATTTGAATTCCTGTAAAGAAATTTATTATTATTACTACAAATAATTGAATTTTTGCAAAATTTTTAAAAATATGTGAATTTTCGAGAAGAATTTTATTAAAGTTGTATGAAAAATAATTGAATTCCTGTGAAAAATTTATTATCTCTACAAATAATCCATTTTTGCAAAATTTAAAAAAATGAGTGTATTTTTGAGAAGAATTTTATTAAAATTGTACATATTTAAAATAGCTCATTGAATTCCTGTGAAAAATTTACTATTTATATTATTGAATTCTTTCGATTCTTTAAAAATAATTTAATTCTTCATAAAATTCAATTATTTTCCAATTTTTTCATAAATACTTTATAAGAATTCAATGATTTTCAGTACATTAATTTCAAAATTAAAAACATTTAAAAAGGAAAATTATTTTCAAAGTTGGGAAATAAAAAAGCAAACAGCAACTAATTTCAAACTGCGAACCGATTACCGGAATACAATGACTATTAATATAGAATAGAAAGATTACTTTTATTCCGATTATAATTTTTTTAGTTTGAGATTATTTCCATTAATTCAAAATCCTTACAAAACAATTATATTTTTACAGGAGACTTCCGAGAGTCAGGATTTAATAAGATTAGATTCGACAAATAGCGACGACGATTTCGATCCACTTCTAACAAAATCGCGATTTAATGCTCCAAATCAAATGAGTCAATCGTTGAACATTCCGCAAATGGGAGAAGGTCTCAGCAATCCACTATATCCATATTTTCAACCAGCAAATCAAAGTAGCGCTGAATTAAATCAACCCCAACAGCATCCTGAGAAATGTAAAGATTTAGATTTATTACAAGAATATGGTTTAGATTTCAACAAATTTAGCCTCACCAATGGCGCCGCTTCTTCTTCATCTTCATCGACTTCAAAAATTCCCTCGCAATTTAGTCAGGACTTTTCAGAAAATAATTTTAGCATAAACAATTCATTTGGAGCACAATTTAGCGCTCAAACAGTCAAATCGCAGAATAATTGGACCAAATTCGAGTAGAAAAATTATTTACCTATTTAAAAAAAAAGAAAATCTGTGTTAGAAATTAATTAATGATCGAAATAGTTTTACTTTCTATAAAGAAAAATTAGCAGGTATAATATTCAAATTACAGCAGTTTTAATTTTACTAAAAAGTTGATCAAAATAATAACAGAAAAATTAATTTAATTAAAAATTGATATTGCATAATTTTAATTATAATCAAGTTTTGAATGTTTAAGGAACGAAATTTATTTTTTCTGCAACTTAAATTTTTATTATTAATAATTTGGCGTCACTATAAAAAATTAGTTTTTTCTGAATGTTCATTACTTAAAATAAAATAAATAAAAGTAATAAAATAAAATTTACAAATAAAATAAATAAAAATAAAATAAAATTTAAAATTTAAGTTCTTAAAATAAAATAAATAAAAATAATAAAATAGAATTCATAAATAAATAAATAGTAAAATAAAATGTAAAATTTAAGTTTCTTTTTTTGCAATCAATAATTTATGGAAATATAATAATAAAAAATATTTCATTCATTTGAACGTTCAAAACTCGTTGATAATTTTTAATTAATTTTATTTAATTTCATTTAATTACTTAACTTTATTTAATTACTCTTATTTATGTTTTGTTAAAAAATTAATTTTAACAAAAATAATTTTCTTTTAATTTGAAACTAAAAACAAAATCAAAACTCTGGTCCAAAATTACTAGAATGAATATAAAATTCGAGATTATTTGCACTTTATTTTGTATACAATATTATAAGACAGTCTGAAAAGTCATTAGTATTATGTAACGAATAAATTAAGAACTAATTATTTTTTTTTTGTACGAATAGCACACAGACGGCTCAATATTTTTCGCAATGTTCGGCTGTACGAAATGAAAGTTAACTGTTCAAGTTTCTGTTTGAAAAATATTTAATTGAACATTTTCGAAATTGTACAGTTTTTTGAAATTTAAAATTAATATAAGTTTTAATTATTGTTGAGCAATGAAGAAAAAGAAAATCTTCCATTTGCAATAAAAAAAATATGGAAAGTTTTTTTATTTATTAGAAGAAAAATTATTTTTCATTTGGTATAATCAAATTTTTAAATATATGTAAATTATTTTATAGAAAAGCACTGAAAATGAATGACAAGCAAGTGCCAAAATTGAAGACTTTATCAAAAAAATGTTTTTCTTTTTTCACATGAAAATTTCAAATTGGAAAAAAATTCACGGTTTGTAATTTCCATAAAATAGAAAAGAATTCATTTATTATGAATCTGAATGTGCAAAACAAAAAAAAAGGAGAGAAAAAAGAAAAGCTTACTTAGAACCGAGCACAAGGTCTTACGCATTAGGGAAATTGAATCTCCTGTTGATAACATATCATAATTATTATAATTGTAAATAAAAAAAAGAAGTTTGTATAACTTAATATTTATGTAAATACTAAGAATTTCTAGTTGCTAAGAAATTGACAGTTTCTAGAAAAGAAAGTTATATAGTCAATGTTTGTGTTCTTCCTCTTGTTTTTCATTTCTATGAGGTTGAACAATAAAAATAAAAGACCAATATTAAATCTGGTTTTTTTAAAATGTTATTTTTTCGAAATGCTTTTAAAAATGATGTGGCACTAAAAATGAATCAACTCGCCTATAAATGTGTGTAATCTATTTTAGATAATGCAATTACTAAAAAGAATGCAGGACAATATTTTTTCGAAAATTGTGATTGTTATAATTAATATTATTATTTTTGTTAGTTAATATTTTCAGAACTGTTGTTATTCTCAAAATCGTACAAAAGAATTCATTGAGATTCTTTTTATGCAATTTTACAAGAAATAGATCATTATAAAAACAAATACTCACTTGTCTTGTATTGATGAAATCAAGCTTCCATTCAAAACTTTTTTACATAATAAAAATATATTTTTTTTGTTGAATATGTCCAGGGACTGTGTAATATAATTATTTCAGCGTCAATAGTTGAAAGTGTGTATATAATATAAAACAAAGCAATAGTTAAAAGGCACAAATAAATTTTAATAAAATACCTTTGTTGTTTTTCTTTCGAATAAAATGCACTTTGCAAAAATTGTGACTTTTTTTTAACTTTAATTAATTAACTATAGCAATTTTCCAAAATTCTGATATAAAATTCTTCGAAACAATTCAATTATTTTTATGAATTTTAAAATTTTCGGCAAGAATTCAATTATTTTTATAAAAAAGGAAAATTCTTCGCAAGAATTAAAATATTTTCATAAATAATAAAATTCTTCAAAAGAATTCAATTATTTTCATAAATAATTAAATGTTTTGGAGAAATTCAATTATTTTCAATACAATTTTAATAAAATTTCTCGAAAGAATACAATATTTTTAAAAATATTATTTAAATTCAATTATTTTCAACAATTCTGATAAAAAATTCTTCGAAACAATTCAATTATTTTTATAAATTGTAAAATTCTTGGCAAAAATTGTAAATTTTTGTAAATAATAAAATTCTTCTGAGAAATTCAATTATTTTCAATACAATTTTAATAAAATTTCTAGGACAAAATTCAATTATATTCAAGATAATTTTAATAAAATTTCTCTAACAGATTCAATTATTTTTAAACATTGTAATAAAATGTTGTTAAACAATTTAATTATTCTCAAAAGTTTTTAATAAAATTCTTTGTAAATTTCAATTTCATAATTTTCAATTAGAATTATTTTTAAAAATTACATTATTTTTTACGAAACTTTATGAAATTCTTTAAAAAAATGTAATTATATATATTTATAAAAACTAATAAAATTGTTTAAAAGAATTTAATTTTCTATGAATAATTTTGATATAATTTAATAGAAAAATTATTAATTACAATTAATATTAAACACGATTATTTTAAAAACTTAAAAGAAATTCTTCACAAAATTCAACTACTTTCAAAATTTTCAGTGAAAATTAGATATTTTTAAAAAACCTCATTGTTTTCAAGAAAATAGAAATAAATTCTTTAAAACAATTCAATTATTTTAAAGAATTTTAATAAAAATCTTGTTAAGAATTAAATTATGTTTACCACAATTTTAATTACATTTTCTCGACAAAATTCAATTACCTATTTAAAAAAAATGTTGATAAAATTCTTAAAATAAATTGAATTATTTTCAAATTTTTTGAAAAGTACTTTGCAAGAATTCAATGATTTTCAGTACATTAATTTTAAAATTGAAAACATTTAAAAAGGAAAATTATTTCCAAAGTTGAGAAACAAAAAAGCAAACAACAACTAATTTCAAACTTAAAAAAAATGGTTTTTTTATAAATAAAAAATAATATAGATTTGAATTAATTTCTAAAATAAAATCCTGTGGATAATTTAATAAAAGAGAGAATTTAAATTGAAAAAATTTTATTTTATAAATATTTTACGAAATTGGGACAACTAGAAATTATTGTATAAATTTCACATTTTCAAAAGCGTTTCCATTGCTTCACAAAGTTGATTTAATTCACCTTTGTTGTTAAAAAGTTTTTCGTCGTTCATCTTTTGTACTTCCTCGGGAACTTTTGTGCTATAATCAGTAGCTGACATGCTTTGTTCTAATCTCTGAACAGCTTCTTTCAGTTGTTCTTCTTTTTTCTTCAGTCTCTCCAGTTCTTTTTGAGGATCAATCAAGCCCTGTTTATAAAAAAAACACTCAAAGTAAATTTATTTCCTTTTTTTCTTATTAACTTTATTTATTTATTTTACTGACTTTAATAATTTTAATTATTTTACTAATTTTACTTATTTTATTTATTTTATACATTTTTAGAGTTTAAATAAATTAATTTTAGAAATTAAGCAATTTAATTAATTAAAAATATTTAATTCGAGTTTGAAACTTAATCCTCACCTTTAGAAGCAAATGAACTTGAACTTTATCAGAAACGGTTAAAATTGCACAACCTGCTGGAATTTCGCCGATTTGTAAATGAGAATAGGCCAAAGTTCCGATCATCATTAAATACTGGGAGATTTTCTCCTTCAGTGATTCGTCACTACAGACAATAAATGCCTCGGTTTTTGTTTTATTCGGTAAGAGGTAAGTTGCACGAGTCGATCTTATTGTCCTCACAATTTTTTGAGCGAAATCGACGTCTTTTTCGATTTCCTCATTCCTCCATGGACACTAAACAGATGAAAATTAAAATAATTAGAACAGAATTTCAGAGTTTTTAAAATTTTGCACTTGAAACTTATTTAAATTTAATAAATTAGAAAACAACTTTTATCTTTTAAAGTAACTTTAATTTAAAAAACATAACTTTAAATTTACTTCCTAGTATTTTTTCAGTATTAAAAAATTTCTTTTCGTTATAATTAAAAAAATCGTAAGAAATTTACCTCGAGAGCAGTTGGATAAGAACTAACGCAAATACTAGGATATGTTTGATTTTTTCTAGGCAAACGTTGATAAAGTTCTTCGGTTATGAATGGCATGAAAGGACTCAATAATCGAAGACCAACGTCTAATGTTTTGAAAAGTACTCGTTGAGCTGATGTTTTTTCATCGTTGGTGCCATTTTGGAACACTGGTTTGATACATTCCTGTAAATTAAAATCAGCGACGAATTAGAATTTTCATTTAAAAAAAAACTTTCAGTAAATTGAAATTGAAATCGTTATCAAAGAAATTTAAAAATAATTTCTGATTCTCTTAATTTGGGTTCAAAAAGCACTTTACCAAATAAACATCACACAAATCGTAGAGCCAAAGATTATAACAGGCAGTCGTCGCCGCTGTAAAGTCATATTGAGCGAATCCCTCATCGCAAATTTTAGCTGCATTGCTAACTCTAGAGAGCATCCACAAGTCCATTTTCGACTCCTGACCAGTCAACTAAAAAAAAGTGTTTCGATTAAAATCAATTTCATTAAACAAAATTCCTCCTTTTAGAAAAAATAGGGTTGCCACAAAAAATTAATTTTTTTCCCTGATTTCCAGACAAAATTTTTACTTTTTCCCTGAAGCTAAATTCAATTATTTTCATGAATAATAACATTTTTCATATAGAATTTCAATTATTTTTAATACAATTTTAAATAAAATCCTCGAAAAATGTAATTATTTTCAAAAATTTTTTACAAGAATTCAATTACATTTCACAAATAATGAAATTCTTTGCTGAAATTAAAATATTTTCAAAATCTACTATTTTAATAAAATTTCTCAAAAGAATTCAATTATTTTCATAAATAAATAAAATTTCTCGGAGGAATTCAATTATTTAAAAGAAATGTAATAAAATTCGTTGCAAGAATTCAATTATTTTCATAAATAATAATATTCTTCACAGGATTTCAATTATTTTTCAAAAAATTTGATAAAAATTCATGCTATAATGCTTTTATTATTGAATTATTATCTAAAATTTCAAAAAAATTAATTTTTAAATCAGTTTTGATTAGAAAATTCTACGAAAATTCAATTATTTAAATACAAAATATCGGAGAAGAATTTTATTAAATTTTTTTTTAAATAATTGAATTCTTGCGAAGAATTTTATAAAAATTTTTTTAAATAATTGATTTTTTTCAAATAATTCTGTAAAAATTATGTTTTAAAATAATTAAATTCCTGTGAAAATTTTTTACTTATGAAAATAATTGAATTATTGCGAAGAAATTTATGTAAAATTTGTAAATAGTTGAATTTTTGTGAAACTTTTTTTTTGTGCAAATAATTTCATACTTGCCTAGAATTTTATAAAAATTTTTGAAAGTAATTGAATTTTGAAGAAGAATTTTATTATTTTCAAAGATAATTGAAATTTTGATAAGAATTTTTAAAAATTTTTGAACATAATTGAATTTTTTCAAACATTTGTAACTTCTCTATAATTCAATTTTTTGTGTTTTTAACTAAAATTCTTCTTCAAATCCATGATTTTTAATAATTAATTTAATATATATTAAAAAATTAAATAATTTCAGAAAAAATTGAATTGTTAAAACTTTTTAAAAATTTAAGTTCTTTAAATTTTTTTTTATTTAATTCATTCAAAATTTTCAAATTAAAACCTTTTAAAGTTCATTTATTTATGAAATTTGAAAACAAAAATCTTTTAAAATTAAATTAATTTTGAAATATTTAAATAAAATTATTCATTATATAATTTATGAGTAATAATTTTGTAATAGTTCTTGAAGAATTAAGCGTTTTTTAAAAATAAATTATAATCAGAAATATAATAATCTTATGAGTTCTAAAAATTAAAATTTTTCCAGTACTTTTAATAAAAATCCCTAACTTTTCCCGGATTTCCCTGACAAGTTCTAGTTTTTCTGACTTTTTCCTGAATTCCCTGATTTCCCTGATCTGTGGCAACCCTGAAAAAATAGTCTCTTTTAGAAAGAGGAAAATAGTTCAGGAATTCGGGGATAACTACAAATTCATGCTCTATTTCTACATAGAGAATTTCACCAAACGGAAAAATAGTTTTCTCTACAAAAAATGCAATTTTAATCTAAAAAAAAATGCAAATTTTACTAAAAAAAAACCCAAAATAGAAAATTCAAACAGGAAATTTAAAAATAATCACACCTGAAAACCACCACCATTATCACTTTTTCTACTCAATTTACAATCAAACTGTCCTTCCACTCTAAATCGAGCTTTCTCCTGTTCACTGAACGTTTTTAAATGATTAAACCATCTTTTCAGATGCGGAAATTTATTAAAATCACTTCTCAAGGAGTTGAAATTTCTATGAAGTTCATTATCTCTTTGAGACGGAGTGAATCCATCAGCGTAAGGAAAATTCCCAAGATATTCATTGATCGCTTTCTGAACACATTTTTCATTTAATGTTGAAAGTAGCCACTCATTATTTCCCGCCACCTCAATTTTTCCATTCTAATCGAATAGCATTACAAATGAAATTAATAAATTGAAAATTGAATTTTAATCAATTGAGAGAAGAGAAGATTCTTCTCTTTTCTTACCATTTTCGCATCATCTTCAAAATTAAATCCATCGCCGAGATAAGTAAGTGCAAATCGACTTGCATTCCAAAGTTTATTACAGAAAAATCGATAACCTTGAACACGTTGGATGTCGAGATTAATATCACGACCTTGCGTTGTGTAAGCGCATAAAGCAAAACGCAGCGCATCAGTTCCACATTCGGGAATTCCTTGCGGATAATCACGCTTTTGTCCCTCCACTGCGTGTTTCAGTTCCTTTGGATCGAGATTCGAGTCGTACAGTTGTTTATGAAGATCCTGAAGAAGAAATTTTTTGAAAATAAAAAGTGTATAAACAAAATGATAATAAATAATGATAAAATAATTGTATTTAAATAATAAAATAAATAATAATAAAATAATTATATTTAAATAATAAAATAAATAATAATAAAATGATTTTTAGATAATTAATCATTTTGAGAAATTAAAGAAAATACCTCAAGAGAAATTCCACGAATTACGTCCATGGGATCGATAACATTTCCTAACGATTTGCTCATCTTCCTTCCATGGGCATCTCTCACCATTGCGTGTAAATAAACTTCTCTGAAAATAAATAACAATTAGTATATTATTACGATTTGTTAGACTTAGATATTATTTTAATGACTAAATTTTCTAAATTAATTATAATTAATTAACAAGTAATTAATATTATCTTACTTGAAAGGAAGCTTTCCCATTAATTTTTGACCGAAGAAAACCATTCTGGCAACCCAGAAAAATAATATGTCATGACCAGTTTCCAGCAACGTTCCTGGATAAAAAGCTCGAAGTTCTTCCGACTGGCAAATAGAAAAACAAATAGAATTTAGAAAAGAATAATAATAAATAAATTGAAAACAATTAAATTAAAATTAAATTAAATTAGATTAAACAAATAAATTGTGATTTCCAAAATGTGAAATTCATTTTTTGAAATAATTTTATTTACCTCCTCGGGCCATCCGAATATTGAAAATGGGAAAAGAGCGGATGAAAACCAAGTGTCTAAAACATCTGGATCTTGTTGTAAAGAAATTTGATTGACACTGACTGCAAATCTTTTTGCTGCTTTCTCCCTAGCTTCCTCTTCTGATCGACCACTGACCCAATATTTATTATCAGTCATCTAGAAAGCAAATAATTTAGTTTTTATTAAAGAATTTCTTTTAATTTAAACTATTCATGATTATTAATTACTAGCAAATGATACGCGCGCGGAACATGTTCTTCAATTTATTATTGTTATGCAAATTAAGAAAATTTTTTATTTTCAAATAATTTCATAATCGAAATTTTTAAAATTCACTTATTAAGTACAAAATTAATTATTATTGGCAATTATTTTCTAAAATTTTAATAAAATTTCACGAAAGAATTCAATTATTTTGATAAATAGTAAAATTCTTCGCAAGAACACAATTATTTTTATAAATAGTAAAATTCTTTGCAGGAATTCAATTATTTTCAAAACAATTTTAATTGAATTCCTCAGCAGAATTAAAATGTTTTTAAATAACTTCATAAAATTTAATTATTTCCTAAAATTTTAATAAATTCGTCGAAACAATTCAACTACTTTTATAAATACTAAAATTCTTTGCAGGAATTATAATTATTTTTAATCTAATTTCAATAAAATTACACGAAAAAATTTAATTATTTTCAAAAATTTCCATAAAATTCAATTTCAATAAGAATTTAAAAGTCTCTAAAAATAATTCAATTATTCTCAAAATATTTTTAAAAATTCTATATAAAAATTCAATTACTTTCAATTCAATTTTTAAATATATTCGTAAAAAAATTGAAAGAATTCAATTATTTTTTAAACAACTTTAATTGAATTTTAATTTAATTTCTCTTAAAAATTTAAGTATTTTCAAATATTTTTATAAAATTCTTCGCTGAATTCTTCTCAGGAATTCAATTATTTTCAATATAATTTTAATCAAATTCTTCTTCATAAAATTCAATTGCTTTCAAAATTTGCAATTAAAATTATTAAAAAAACTCCATTATTTTAAAAATATTCAAAAAAATTCTTTAAAAGAATTTAATTAGGATTTTTAAAAATGTTTTTAAATTTATCGCGAGAATTCAATTATTTTCATAAATAAAAAAATTCTTCGAAGGAATTCAATTATTCTCTTGAAATTTTTTGATAAGATTTAAAAAATTTAATAAATAATTTAATTTAATTTAATTTAATTTTTTAAAAATTTAATTTAATCTTTAAAAACGAATATTCACTTTCTGTCAATATTTAAAAACGAATATTAACTTTTTTGCAATCTTTAAAAAAAAAAGAAATTCTTTTAGTGACAAATTTTTACCGAACCAGCTGGAACTGAGGAATCATTAACAGCGACAAAATAAGCCGGAATGCGGTGACCCCACCTAAGGAAAAAATCTATTATGAAAATTCTATTTCTTTACTAGAAAAATAATTATTTTGTTCTAATTAAATAGTATTCTTAAGTAGCAAAGCATTTTTTTTACCAAAGTTGTCGTGAAATGCACCAATCTCTTATGCCTGTCATCCAATGATCCCAAGTCTTTTTAAATTGCTCTGGAATAATTTTCAATTCTCCCTTTTCTACCACTTCCATTGCATTTTTCGCCATTTCATCGCACTTAATGTACCTGTAAATTAATTTTATTTATTGTTTCAGAAAAATATTTACTTTACTCTAATTTATCCATTTTTCTTAATGTAAAATTATTTGTTGTCAATTTTCGTTTTTATTATTTTTTTATTGTCTTTTTTTATTTATACCATTGAGGTTTTATAAGAGGCTCAACGACATCTTTCGATCTACTGCAAATTGGCACAACCATTGGATTATCCTTTGTCTCGACAAATAATTTCCTCTCTGTTAGTTCTTTCAAAATCGCTTTCCTTGCATGGAATCTTTTCATTCCCTGGAATAAAATTTCTTTCGTTATTTAAATATTTACTTTAATTGTTAATAAATATTTGCAATTTATATTAAACAGAAAGTATCTTAAAAATTGAAAAAAGGGACACGAACCGTAAAAACTCCATAATCTCCAATAATATTTCCATCATCGTCAAAAATTGTAATAAAAGGTAAATTATGCCTCTTTCCAATTTCATAATCATTCGGATCGTGAGCAGGAGTGATCTTCACAGCTCCTGAAAATTTAAAAATCGAATTAATATCAGTTTTACTAGATAAAATAATATAAGTAAATTGAAAAATCGCCTTATTATTAATCCAAGTAGAAAACAAATTGAAACTTTGAAATTAAAAATAAAATCTAAGAATAAAAAATGTGTCAACGAAATTATTTCTCACCTGTTCCGAAATCCATTTCGACGTATTCGTCAGCTACAATTGGTAAGCGTCTATCGCAGAAAGGATGCTTTACATTTTTTCCAATCAAATGGGAGTAACGTTTGTCATTAGGATGCACTGCAATCGCAGTATCTCCCAACATTGTTTCTATTCTCGTTGTCGCAACAGTGATTTTTTCCTCTGAATTCTCAACTTCATACGAAAATAGCACTAAAACTCCGAACTCCACTTTTTCATTGTAGCCAGGAATTGACAGCAAAGTCCTTACCGTAAGCTCAACTTTATCCACCTAAAAATTCCAAAATTAAATCTTCTTAATGATAAACAAGTTACAATTTTAAATTAATTTTTATTTTGAATGTAAATTTAAACTAATTTTTATTTTCAATCTAAATTTAAATTCATTTTTATTTGAATCTAAATTTAAATTAATTTTTATTTTCAATCTAAATTTCAATTAATTTGAGAAAAAATTAATCAATGTCAAAAAGCTACCTCGATATCGGAGATTGCACTTTTCAGAGCACAGGACCAATTGACGAGGCGATTACTCCTGTAAATTGTTTCGTCGTCGTGTAAGCGAACAAATGCTTCTGTGACTGCTCGACAAAGTTTTGGATCCATTGTAAAACAGGCGCGATCCCAATCGAAGGAGCCACCCAAACTTTTCAATTGAGAATAAATACCACCGCCTTTCCTTAGAAAAATAAATATCGAAATTTACAAACATTTTTTTACTAAATTTATTCAATAAAAATAGAAAAAATTTACTAACTCATTCTTCCATTGCCAAATTTTTTCAATAAATTTTTCTCGACCCAAATCGTGTCTTGTCTTTTTTTCTTCCTTCCAAAGTTTCTTCTCCACGACAACTTGAGTTGCAATCCCAGCATGATCGCAGCCTGGATTCCAAAGAGTCGTACGTCCCTTCATTCGGTTCCTAAAGAAAAGTAATATTTTATTTCTTTCGGTTCACAACCAAGAAATATTTTTAAATACTAATTTCAGGACTCGAACTAGGCCCGTAAATCCCGTACAGGTCCGTAAAAGTTATTTTTTTTCAAAACCGGTCCGTAAAGTCCGTAATTCGATAGAAAAAGGAAGAAAAGTTCATAAATTGTACGATATAATTTGGATAAATTTAGAGAAATTACAAATGATTGCAGAAATTCAATTATTTTTAAAAGTAATAAAATTCTTCGCAGAAATTCAATTATACTCAAAAATTTTTTTAAATTCTCGTCAAAATTTCAATTGTTTTTAGAAATAATAAAATTATTTTCCAAAATTCAATTATCTTAAAAAATTTTATTATTTATGAAAATAATTTAATCATTTTTAATATCTACTATTTTAATAAAATTTTCCAAAAGAATTCAATTTATTTAAAAAAAATTTAATAAAATTCTACGCAAGCACTTCATTTTATATGATTAAAAAATAAAAAACCAACAAGTAATATTTTTAAATACTAACCATCTTGTGATTGCGTCCTCAACTGCATTAGTCAAAGCATGTCCAAGATGAAGGTAACCAGTGACATTAGGAGGAGGAATAACCATCACGAATTTTCCATTCGGATTTTCTTCCGATATACTTTTTCTCTAAAAACAAAGTAGAAATCAAGACTTAGTACGTTTTAAAAAAAATACATTCCCTTCAAATCAAATTAAATCAGAAAGAAAATTATAAAGAATTAAAATTTAAATCATTTAGAAAAATGAAATCTACATACTCCATATTCTGGTTTGAAGAATCCTTCCTTTTCCCACCAGGAATACCAAGCAGCTTCGACATATTCTGGACTGTAAGCGTCTGGCATAGGACTTGTAACATCTTTCTTTGCTCCAGGCGAAGTATTTATCGTATACTTGGCACTTTCTTTCGATTCTTTCTTTTTCTTCTCAGGTTTCTAACAAAAAAATATTTTCCGATTAGTATAAAATAATTATAATATAAAAAGCAAGAGGAAATAAAGAATAAATTTTTGAAACTGTTTTTTCGTAAAAATTAGACAAAAAAGAAAGTTGCATAAGATATTAGGATCATAAACGAAAAATTAGATTATCAGGTCATAATCTAAAGAATCAATCAATCAATTAATTGATGATGAAATTTTTTTCCCTAAGAGATCACAAAATGAAACTTTCACCTGAAAGTTTTTTTTACCTGAAATTACAAAAAATTATACACAAGATCTATTGTTAATAAATGTATTAATTTAGTTTCAGGTAAACAATTAGTTGACAATAGTCAATTTTGACTATCGTTTCCTATTTCATTATAAACAATAGAAAAATAAGACACTTAAGCCGATCAAAAATGCCATATGGCAACAATCAAAAACTAACCTTTTTTAAATAACATTCAATAAATTATAAAAGAAAATTTTAATAATTTAAAAATAAAATTAACAATTTCCAAAAAGACAAACCTCAGTCTTTTCTGTTGCACTTTTCGCCGCTGTAGAAAGTTTCTTTTCCTGTTTCTGCTTAAATTTCTCAAGTTTTGCCAATTTTTCCTTCTCCTTTTGCAATTGTTTTGCTGTTTTCTGTGGAGGTGCTTCTCCTTCAATTACATTGTTCGTATCAGCCATTGTTACACTATTAATCAGAAATTATTTTCAAACAATTTCTCCAGTAATTAAAATAAAGTGACAATTTAAAAAATAGAAAAATTAGACTTCTCAACTCCACATGTCAAGAAACACTCAACAACACATGATGAGAATGTCAAGAAAGGTTAGGTTAATTAACATATAAAATTTATAAAATGTATATTTCGTAATATTTTTGACATTTAATAATGTTTAAAGAAATATTGCTTATCAACATACCTCGAAGGCTAATAATATATTAGAAGAAAGATAAAATCTTTGTGAGAGATAAATAAACAGCAGCGAATAAACAAAGAATTCAGAGAGATAACCTCAAAAGTAGAGTTCAAATAAAACTCAAAACGTTCATAAAGTGCAAGATCATAAGAGTCTTTAATAAGCGACAATTTTAAAATGGAAAAAAAATTATTAGTAGTGTTTTTTAATATCAATTTAGAGAGTTTAATTAATCCTACTTGTCAAAATTTCGAACTTTCACTTCAATTAATTTTGAATTTATTAATAGCAAATTTTGAATTTTCGCGGTTAAACTTTTCGATATTTGCGAGATACGTTTCGAGTTTCGATACCTCACCATAGCTGGGTAGGTATTTCGTAAGTACTGCCGACATACGCCATCTGGTGTGACTTTTTTCAACTACTTTTGCAATATTTCTCAGTGAGTTCGTAATCTATGTTGTCAATTAATACCAACTTCCGGAGATTTAAAACCACCGTTAATTCGCAAAAAGTTGTTATTGTTTGTGACATGAAGACAGAAGTTAAAAATTTATAATTTGAAATCACAGTGATATTCATGATATTGGAAGATTCCTACGATTCTTATTATTTAATGGAAGAGAATATTTAGTCTTTTACAATATTGGATAATAATGGAAATGATAAAATTCGCAAAAAGGCCTAAAAGAACCAAGTGGAATGAGATGACTGCTCTCATCAGAATGTTGAGTAAGGTAAATAGGTTAAGTTTAATATTATTTATATTGTTTTTATTACCGTATATAATTTTTATTTATCTAAATAATCTCAAATAGTTGCAAATATTTGAAATTCAACAATTCATAAGAATATATAACTACAACACATGAAGAAATTGATCACTTCGACTCATTTTTTCATATTATAAAAACATTGTTACTGTAACTTTCTTCCAAATTATTTTCATCTAATCAATTTAATTATTATTCGTTTTTAAATCAATTATTTTTTAATAATTTTTGAAAAAGTTCTTTGAGAATTTTCAGATCCATTTTGTTTAATTTTTACGAAATTTCGGAAATTCTTCAATTAAATACATATTCGGAAATAAAAACTTGAAATAATTTAAAAATAAAATCCAATTGAACTTAATTTTTAAGAAAATTAATTCTACAGTATTATTATAGTTAAAAATTGAAAATTCCGATTTTCAAAGATATTAATTTTGAAACCTTTTCAAAATTCAATTATTTCTAAAAATCCATGTTATAATGATTTTAATATTCAATTATTATCTAAAAATTCTTATTAAAATTAATTTTTAAATGGATTTTAATTAGAAAATTCTACGAGAATTCAATTATTTAAATACAAAAATATTTATTTCTGCGAATTTATTGAATAATTGAATGTTTCTCAGAATTGAATTCTTATACACAATTTATTCAACAAATTTATAAATAATTGAATTTTTTCGATATATTTTAATAAAATTGTTAAGAATAATTACATTTCTCAAGGAATTCGATTAAAATTGCATTAAAAATAATTGAAACTCAGCGATGAGTTTTATTATTTATAAAAATAATTGAATTCCTAAAAAGAATTTTATTATTTATGAAAATAATTGAATTTCTTTAGAAAAATTTATTTAAACAGTAGATATTTAAAATCATTGTATTGAGGGAAATTCTTGAAAAAAATTGAAATTTTACCAAGAATTTTATTCAAATTTAAAAATAAATTGAATTTTGGAGAAGAATTTTATTTTTTTGTACAGATAATTGAAATGTTGACGAGAATTTTTAAACATTTTTGAAAATAATTGAATTTCTGCGAAAAATTATTGTATTACTTTTGAAAATAATTAAATTTTGTCAATCATTTGTAATTTTTCTCAAAAATTTAATTTTTTAAATGTTTTTAACAAAATTAATTTTTAAATCAATTTTTATTTAAAAATTCTACGACAATTTAATTATTTAAATACAAAATAAATAATTGAATGTTTCTTAAAATTGAATTCTCATAAAGAATTTTATCAACAAATTTTTAAATAATTGAATTTTTTTGACGAATTTCAATAAAATTTTTAAAAATAATTAAATTTTTCGTGAAATTCTTTGCAAAAATTAAATAATGTTCAAAAAATTTTTTTAAATTCTCGACAAAATTTAAATTACCTTTATAAATAATAAAATTCTTCTTCGAAATTCAATTATTTTCAAAAATTCAATTACATATTTTCGAAAAAATTATTAAATATTAAAGTATTAAAAATAGTTGAAATTTTTATTTTGTAAAACAATTGAAATTTTACCAAGGATTGTATTAAAATTTTGGAAAATAATTGAAATTTTGACAAGAATGTTATTCACATTTTTGAAAATAATTGAATTTCGAAGAAGAATTTTATTATTTATAAAGATAATTGAAATTTGTAACTTCATCAAAATTCAATTTTTTTAGTGTTTATAACTAAAAATTGTTCTATAAATTAATTATTCTTAATAATAATTAATATAATTAAAATTTTTCAAAAATCTAACTTTTTTAAAATTTCTAATTAAATTCATTCAAAATTGAAATTTTCTAAAATTTCAAATTTGAAATCTTTTTTAATTAATTTATTTCTGAGAATTGTAAACGTAAATCTTTTAAAATTCAATTAATTTAAAAAAAGTTAAAAGTTAAAAAGTTATTTAAAAAGAAATTATTGTCGCAGAAATAGAAATTTTTTTATGAAAATTCGTGCGGTATGTAATTTCATAGTTTATGAAGCAAATAAAAAAGACACTAAAATTCAGAATTTTCTCATGAATTTTAAAAATTTAATTTTTTCCAATACTTTTCATAAAAATCTCTAATTTTTCCCTGAGAAATTCTACTTCTTTTAATTTTTTTTTCCTGAATTTCCTAACTTTCCTGACCTGTGGCAACCCTGGTACAATGTCCCTTTAATTTAAATTCAAAAATTACTATTCTTTATCTAAGAACGGATATTACGAAAAATTTAATTAGAACGAATCTTGCAGGTAGTAAACTAGCAGCAAAAATAAATCAATTGGATCTAATAGCAAGCTCCATTCGACATGAGACGAGGAAAAACTATTCAAACCAAATATTCATCACGAGAAATCATTTCGGACTCAAAGGATATATTTTCCACCGTTCGGATGATGACGAAGGAAAAACGTCTTTTTTTCCAAAAGAGAAGGATTACCCTCGCACCCCGAAAAGAATGACGTCCTATCCCAGAGAAATATAAATATGGGAATTAAAAAAAAATAGACACATCACATACATGAGTGGAGCTTGATGACCATATAGTCGAATGACGTTGGTTTGGAGAGATAGGAATCTGACAGGAGTGTTATAGTAAAAGCGAGTGGGGACGAATATTGTGGTAGGAAAAACGAGAGGGAAATCGCTTGGGGGTGGCGGCGGGATTCTTGACATTGCTCCTCTTCCACCCCCTTTAGCTGGGTTCAGCTTTCGGTATCGTTGCTTCGTGTTTTCGCGCGGTCAAGGCCACTAGCGTCGTGACGTCATGCGGCGCTGCAGTGACGCAATAGTCGCCAGGGGCAACCCGCTTGATTGCGGTCGCCAGGCAACCCCTACTACTCTCTCTCTCTCTCTCTCTTTCTCTCTCTCAACCCCTCCTGGAATTCTCTTCTACCGGGCATGCTCTATCATACACGTGCCATGCCGCTTCTCAATGAATCCCCTACCTTATCGAGTTTTTCAATCCACCTCACCTGTCTTGTCATTCGACCTTAACCGTGAAATTCTATACAGAGAAACAATTCGATAGAGAAATCAGATCACAAAATAAACTCCTTTCCATCAGAGGTCCTCTTTTCATACGAGTTCTTTTTTTTTTTTTTTGCTACAAAAAGGGAAAAATCTCCCTCTTCTAAAAAGAAAGGAGCATTATTTACAATACTTTCTTCCATTTTTTCTCGATAATAAAAATTGTAGCTTCGATCTTGCGGCGGGGGGGTTGAAACACCTCTCTCAGCGTAAAATCTAACTTTAGCTCAGGTTCAAGGATGATGGGGTGAATGGGAGAGAGAAAAGTTTCACATCCAATGGGATAAATAATTTATACGCGCTTTAATAAATTAAATAGTGAAAATTTCTCTTAAACCTTATATTTACCATATAAATAATGTTCGATAGTTATAAATAGAAATTTTATTTTTAGCAGATTGCTATTTGCTCTAAAATTAAAAGAGACTTTTAACATTTATCGAACTTTGGTTTTGATTATATATTATATTTTTATCGAAAACTACATTTTTCCACTCTGAAAAAAAATTAAATTATTCATATACTCTCTTCTCTCATCAGGGTTGCCACAAGAATTTAATTTCTTCTCCCTGATTTAAAGACAAAATTTTCACTTTCTAAAGAAAAGAAAGAAAATATACAGAAAAGAATAAAGAATATAAATTATGATTCACTCTAAAAATTATTAGATACTCAAAAAAATGTTCTATTACATTTATTTACGAATTTACGAATCCTCGAAAAATGTAATTATTTTCAAAAATTTTTTACAAGAATTCAATTACATTTCACAAATAATGAAATTCTTTGCTGAAATTAAAATATTTTCAAAATCTGCTATTTTAATAAAATTTCTCAAAAGAATTCAATTATTTTTAAAAAATCTATTAAAATTCGTTGCAAGAATTCAATTATTTTCATAAATAAACAAAATTCCTCGGAGGAATTCAATTATAAAAGAAATGTAATAAAATTCGTTGCAAGAATTCAATTATTTTCATAAATAATAATATTCTTCACAGGATTTCAATTATTTTTCAAAAAATTTAATGAAAATTCGTTGTGAGACTTTCATTATTTTCTAAATAATAAAATTCTTCGAAAGAAATAAATGAACAATTAT